GGGGGGGGGGGGGGGGAGGACATGTCAAGTATGCTCTAACTTAGATTGAATCAGTACTTCTTGACTTACTATAATATTCTTCCGAATTGTGACAGTGCATATGTTGCTTCTCATGTACAGATGGTCAGCCATGGTTGCAAAATTACCAGGAAGAACCGATAATGATATAAAAAACCACTGGCACACCCACTTGAAGAAACGTGCAAAGCAAAATGGAAAATTAAAAGTAACTAGTGAAAATTCTCAATCCATGAGAACTTGCCAGTTTGAAGACAGCCAAAAGAGAGATGATCAAGAATTGGCACTTGACAGTGTTGTTGCCATTGATCCATCCCAGCAAACTTCAGAAAGCTCCTTATTGCAGGCGGAACCTTTTTCCGGTGAATTCTCCTCATTAAGCTCCAATTATGCCTTCAACACTGCTATGGAATGGATCAAGAATGCTAGCACCACTTCATCCGAAACTTATGCAGATACAATTGAAAATTTCTGGACTCAACCATTTTTGTTAGAAAATGAGACCACTACAAATGATGTCCATGCACCCATCGTCGACCACGAGTTTCTCTCTCCAAAATCTCCTTTTTCTTGTGAGGAACTTCTATCCATTTATGGTTGTTATTATGGACATATATATTAATGCCTAGAACTGGAAACCTATAAATGTAAAGAAAAATAACCCGTATGCTTTAATTTTATGCTTCGACTTGGTGGCCTTTCTGGTTGAAAAGGTCGGCCAAGCTTAGAGTGCTTTGCAACGAAATTACAAAGTTCCATTTACATTGGACACCTTTGGTTTGTCTATATATAACCATAAACTATTTCAGTAAGAATGGTGCATCATAAGAGCCTGTTTGGTTTCTATTGCGGTATTTTTTGGGTTCCTCTTTGTTTTGCTGCTGATTATGCCCAGTTAATTGTAAGACTAACAATTAAATGACAATTTTTAATGTAGGTAGTGTTTATGCTTACCCCTCGACTTGCGAGGAGTCTTGTTGCCTTTTTCATGTTGTGAATTTATTCGATAAGATACAATTAGTTTCCCTAACCTCTCAGAAACCCATCCAAAATGACTTTGGATCTGAATGTGGCAAGTTCTAATCCAAATTATCAAACAGGAAATGGAAATATCAGGTAATAATTGATTTTGAATTATTATCGGATATAAGTTATGACTCAAATTTGAATAAAAGTTTCAATCTGCAATAGGGTAGTTGTTCATTGTTTCCATGTCAACTAGAAAAATATATATGCACATATATATACACACCAAGGCAGATACATGTTGGATTTTTGGTGATTGGTGGTTGTGGCAGTAATAGTTGTGATGGTCGTGAAGTTTAAACCATGGATATGGGTGGGGAATCCGGCTCCTCTGTTGTTAATTTTCTAACATCAAAGGATCCTCGCCCTATGAGTGGGTGGTTGTATGTGTGTGCGTGAACACATATGGGTGTGGGAGGGAGGAGAAAGGATGTGTTTGGTTACTGGGTTATTCTTGTTCCAAAGTGAAACTAGTTTGGAAATAAGATTATTTTGTTCCATAAAGGATTAACGGGCTATAAANCGCCCTATGAGTGGGTGGTTGTATGTGTGTGCGTGAACACATATGGGTGTGGGAGGGAGGAGAAAAGATGTGTTTGGTTACTGGGTTATTCTTGTTCCAAAGTGAAACTAGTTTGGAAATAAGATTATTTTGTTCCATAAAGGATTAACGGGCTATAAAAATAGTTTGAGCATTATTTTTGCCAACATCATCTTTTTGGTGGCGAGTTGGCTTTGGTTGTTTTTTTTTTTCCAAAAAATAAAATTGTATAAATAGGAATCATAGAATATACATATGAGGCTGAGTTTGTGACAAAATGCATTAGGGTTTTGTTGTTACAACCACAAAGTGTCGGGTGATCTCCGAGTTAACAAGAAGAGCAATGTTTCTTGGACCAAATTAATTTAATATTGGCACCTACTACTAATTCAATAATTTTGATACATTAAGTTAGGAAATTAGGTCCAAATAACATTTTCCAATCAAGAGAACATCAAGGATAGTCGGGGAATAAACTCAAATATGAAGGCGGTCATTATAGCCCTAAAACATCAACAAATGTTGAATGAAGTGTCATAGTCTAAATTATAAATAGAAAGATACCTCAAAATCAGACTTTAATTCGATGCAATCCCATAAAAAAGACATATAACCACAATGTTCAGCTTTTAAATATATACAAGGAGATGACCAGAATGTTGAACTTTAATAACATTTACAAGAAGAGTAAAACATGATCACACAGAGTAGAGTATGAAGTCATTGTTCGTCAAATTGTACAATGACAATGGTTACAATTAAATAAGAGTTAGTTTAGTTCATTTGGGTCAAATTACTAATCAAACAGGGTTTAAAAATAAATTTTAAACAATTTTATTTTGTAGTGAATTTATGAGATTGAATTGTGACTTTTAACTTTATATTGAAAAAAATTATGGGGTGTTAGTCGGACTTCAAAGATTAATTTTTGTTTCTGCACAAAGCCTTATCCGCTGCCCCGTTGGGTTATGGCTTGAGGGGTTGTGGTCTTTATCAGAGACAACTCGTGCCTGAAGGCACGGTGCAATTAAAAAAAATTGAACACGCCCTATATATAGTAGTTGACCTGTGTCATTCACAGGAAAGTGTGAACAATGTTAACTAATTTAAAAGGTAATAATTTATTACATGACCACCTTATAACGATTACCCTAATACTATGTTAAGAGGAGTAACATGAAGCTATAGATTTGTCAAAAAAGCACATGAGAAAAGGATGAGCAGGTTTATATATCAGTATTTGGAACAAGCATTCCAATCCAAAGTTAATATTGCAGAATCGAGCAATTCAAAAATGAAGCAAGAAAATCAAGTAAGGGGCAGATTTAAAAAAGGGGACCAATATAGAAGAGGTCGTGGAAGACAAATTCATTTCAAACAAAATAATTCTTCGTCGTTGTTAGATTCGGATATATCGTCTCTTCGGAAGATAAAAGCCTGTTCACAAGGTCCTCGGTGGTGGCAACCATATGTTTTTCGATCAAATGTCCATTTTCATTCTTTTTTTTTTTTTTGAAAATTAAGTTTGTGAGTAGCTGAAAATTTTTGTGATCTACGTTTCATTTGTGCTTAACAATAGTCGTTTGTGGATAATGCAGAAAAGAAGGAAAAACAGAAAATGTTATTAAAAAAATTGAAAATGGTGATATGATGTTCAAGAAACATAGCTTTGCTTGCTGTCCAGTGAGTACTTTTTCCTTGTAGATTGTTATAATTCACTCCTAAAACTAAGGGCCTCTTTCTTGAGTATTCTGCGCCATATTAGTGAGATAGTCTTGGTGTTCGACCACGCCGTGCTCCCCAAAATAGAAATGATAAGTAAATGCATAATGATAAATATTGATCTTATTCTTGTCATTTTTGGACTCAAATGTACGTTCAGATATGTTGGTTTGATTCCTTTATTGATTCCCATCTCTTCATTCTTTAGTTACACTAAAGGATCATGCATGGCAAATGTTAGGTATCCATTCCAATTGTGAGAATTTCGGTGACTGTAATTGGAGTGGTTTAGCACTCTTTGTGCTGCACTTATTCCTGACTACAACTTTCTTTGTGCTAGTAAGGTTTTTATATGTTTTTGTGGACGCATGACTGCAATTTTGGCTTTATTACAATTCAGTCTTTTTTATTATAATGCATCACATTTGTGTTCAAATGGTACATCAATGGAAAAACATAGTATGATTTACATCAATGGAAAAACATAGTATGATTGTGAAAGCCAATGATTCTTATTTTCCTTTGCCATTTAGGTATTAGCAGAGATGAAGGAACACTTCAGCCAACTGTATACCTGAACAAGTAAGGATTCTTTGCTGTAGAAATTGGGGGGCATTTTTTGTTCACTTTCCATGTTGTGTGGCTCTCCATTGGTCCCTAGCATTTGATCGCATCCATGTTCTATTTTTTTTTGAATCATTTATGAACTAAGCAAAAATCTTTGTTATCTACTTTATCTGCATCTGATCACCATTCTTGCTTCTTGATCTATATTTTTGATTCAATTATGGCTTTTTGGACTAGAGAGAGAGAGAGAGAGAGAGAGAGAGAGAGAGTTGCAGGAATACTAATTTCTTGGGCTTCTTTAGTTAGAAAAATGACCCTCTTCAAGAAACGTTAGAAATATTCATCTGTATGAACTAACTAATAGTTGATTATTCAGCTCCTGTACAATCTGTCTGTGTGTGCTCTACTTATCTCAGGTGATTTGCAATTGGCTCTTAAAATTTTATGGATCGAGACTTTTGAAAGGTTTGTTTATTGTTCGCAGGTAACTTGACAAATTTTTTGAGGGTACTCCTCTATATTGTTTATGCATTGATATGGTTGAATAATTTGCTTGTTCTTTTTGGATTAAAGTGATGTCATAAATTTCAATCATCATAAATTATATATTCAATGCAGACCCATCGATCGAAGAATGCTAATGTTTATATGGTTGTTTTTTCCTTCAATTTTAGGTCATCCGAAACAAGTAGTACCATCAGATGGGCTTATTGGAATTATTTTTAAATTTTGTTGCAAAGAGTTCTAGTTATGTTATGTAGCAAAGAATTCTTAAATTTTGTTTTCTCCGAATTTGTTGTTGCATAGACTACATTAATTTTGGTGAATCTTGTTGATTGTTGAATGTAATAGGAAGTGGATCTTTGTATAGGTTTGTTGATGTCAATTCACTGGAATTTGTTTGTTTGTCAATACTGTTGGGATTTAACTCGATTTAAATTCACTAACAAACACACACAATCGAAGAACAAATCAAGAATATAAAGCAATAAAAAACAAGAAAGAACAAGACACAAATTTTACGTGGTTCGACAATTTGCCTACGTCCACGAAGCTGTAGGGATTTCACTATTGAGAGAGTTGAATTACAGAGAGCGGCTGTACAATCCACAACAAACCCTAATCACCAAAACAACAGGGTTTATATGTCCTACGCACTGGACTGTATAACGGGCCCAAAAAATTTTCCTCAGGGGCGTTGCCCCCGAACCCCCACGAGGCTTGTCCATAAGCGCTACAACTTGGGCCTATTGACCCAAGCCTTCGCTCCATGGACTAAGCCTCAGAAAAATTTTCATTAAAAATCACACAACATTACTTCGGGGTCGGGTCATCATCCGGATCACATATACAAAACTAGACTCCATAAAAAAAACCAACAATTCTCCCACTTGAAGACTAGTTCAACACCAACATCAAACTGCAATCCTTCCAAAACACAATCTCTCATCCCCCCTGCAGCTCTTCGTCTTGTCCTCAAGCTGAGAGACCCACAGAAGCTGAACTAGACTTCAGCTTCTCCACAGTAACCACTTTCGTAAACATATCTGCCGAATTATCCCTTGTGTGAATCTTCTCCAAAGTAAACTCCCCATCCTCCAACAAAGAGCGAATAAAGTGATACTTTATGTCGATATGCTTGGTTCTCGAATGGAAAGGCTGCATTCTTTGCCAGATGTATAGCACTCTGACTATCGCTGAACAATTTAGAATTGTCTTGCTCTTTACCCAACTCTTTCATGAAACTCCTCAGTCATACCTTCTCC